AAAAAAAAAAAAAAAAAAGATTTTATTCCAGCTATAATGATCTATGATTCATGATTACTGTTTGCCTGAGGTTTCTCAAAAAGTCATAGTAATAACAGCTAACATTTATTAATGTGTCAGAAATTCTGCTAAGGGCTGCACGCATTATCTTGTTTAACCCTTATAACAAGCCAAAATATTGTATTACTCTCAAACCATTTAACCAAAAGTCAATTGCTAAATGGCCATTCACAGAATGAGCCATTTGCCAAATTTGTCAAAACCTTTTAACTGTAAGTTTTATGGTAATTTTCATTAGGTTGGAAAGTTAAACAGGTTTTAAAGAATTCTGCAATATTCTGGTTGATTAATTTTAATTGGGAATCCAGCATTTTAAGGAAGTCTATTTAGCTAATTGGTCATTTGGCAAATTGATTTCCGGAGAACTGGCTTTCAGTAAATTGACTTTTGGCAAATTGATTTGGACAGAGTGCTGTTATTATCTTCGTGTTGGAGGTGATGAAACTGGGGTTCAGAGAGGTTACCACCCCTGTCCAAGGTCACACAGCTAGTAAATGGCAGAGCTGGATCTTGGACACAAGCATGTCTCAGCAGAAAGCTCATTCTCTTAGCTCTATTCATACTCATGTATCCCTTCTGACTCTATCCACCACCCACTGTCCCATGATTTCATATCCAAAGGCCTCCCTTGTCCCCACTTCTAGGCCCCCAAATCCCACCTGCCCTCAGTGAGGGCAAGTCGATGAAATTCAAGTGACTGAGTCCTTATTTTGTGTACCTGGTAGGTGCTGGTCTCCAACCAGCCATTGGGATGATTTGCAATAAGGGAAGTTCAAGAAGTTCCCCTGGCTACTTTTCAGAAACTAAGTTATTTTGTTAATTAATCCAGCAAGAAACTGGTGCTAAACTGCCTCTGTTGTGCCTTTATGGTCAGTCTTCAGGAGATGAGACAGTTTCATCTGAGAAGACACAGATCTGGGCAAGCAAGGGCATTCTTCCACCTTCCTCACGAGAACGCACTTCCCGGTGCCCCCAGACCTACCCTCACTTGGCAGCTCACACCCTGTTCCACCAAACCACGGTCATGTGTAGCGTGTACCGCATCAGCAACAGAGCGGCATCTACACACTCAATCCCTTTCACAATCCCCTCGGCATTTTACCTGGTGCCCTAGAAAACTAGTATCTTCAGTTTTGTCCTGGCTAGATTTTGCCTTACATTCTCCCAAGTCCTTGGACATATTAAAAATAAAAAATCCCATTCATACCTTCCTTCCATGTGTGTAAGTGGGTGTTGCTCAGTGATGAAGCTGACCGTGGGTGATGAGTCTTTCTGGTGTTTTGACAGAGCTATTGAACTCTATCAACAGAGACTTCAGTGGCTCACAGAAAACAGCAAGAAGGTAACAAGCATGGATTTCCTTCCTTGGCCCCTTGCACCCATTCCATCTGTACTTGTTAGAATCCTTCCA